GTGCCGGGTCCATGGCGGCGCCGCGGGCGGCCGCCGAAGCAGAGCAGAGCGCGGGCAGCGGGCGGCAACCGAGGGGCGGCGACAGGGTGCGGGCGGCCGCGACGGAAGCCCCGAGCGTAGCCTTGAGAGAGGCCATAAGCACCGCCGCCGCGACGGAAACCGCTCCGCCCCTACCGGAAGGCCCGCCCCACACGCTTCGCTGCCCAATCGCCGGGGGACGGTGGCCGCCACTGCGCCTGCGTGGGCCACGCCCGCCACAGTCTGGCTCTGATGGGCTGTTTTGTCCGTCTGTCCGCTTCCGCGGTTCGGCCCCTCGGCCTTGCCGGGAGAATTGGGCTCCAGTGCCAGGTCCCATCTCCCGGATTGCGAGCCCCCGCTTCAGACCTCAGGGCTGCGGCTGCGGGCTGGCGCGGGCAGAGGGAACTGCGCCGTCCAGAATGGCTGCGCTGCGTAGCAGCCAGCACGTCCCTGGAGGTCTAACTGGGAGACACCTGACAGTCCAGACTGAGTGCACCGAGTGCGGTGACCGTGCTGAATGACGTCTACTGGACCACCAGGGGTGCCCCCAACTCTGGAGTGAAGCCAGGGTCAGCCTCGGCCCCACATGTGCTGAGGGTCTGACCCTTGTTGTCCTCTAGTGCGGCGTGCACCGTGACAGGGGGGACAGAGGACGGCATTTGTCCAGATCTGGCGGAGGGTCGGCGGGGTCAGTTCTGGGCAGGGAAGAGCCCCAGGGCGAAGCCAAAGTGGAGAGACGACCAGGGCCTCCCTCAGCAGGGCCGTTGCTCCTGCTCTTCCTGTGCTTGGAGCACGGTTTCTTCCCTGGGCGAGGTCCCATGCCCGCCTGTTTCATGCCCCATGTCGCCAGTGTTTCCTGGCACAGTTCTTTCTAGAAGGATCTCTTGCCTGTTCTCCTGTTTCTTGTGTCTCTCTCCTCACCGTGCTCCTCAAGAGCAGCACGAGAAAAATTCTCCACAGGTTTTCCAGTGGGCACAGGGCAGCTGGCCACACCCGGCCTGGAAGCCCTCCCCGCCCCGTCCCCCACTAGATGTTGGCGTAAGTGTTGCTGAATGTCTCAGGGGCTGGGTTCAGACGAGCCCCCCTGAGCTGACCCCGGGGATGGCTGTGTGGAGCACCGTGGTCCTCAGAGGGGCTTCCCCCTCCCCACTGGCCCCAGGAGCTGGCCAGGGACCCCGAGCAAACACGCAAGCTCCCTCCTGGCTGGATTCTACGCTTAACTTCAAGGAGACCACAACCTGGGTTTCAATGACTGCGTGTGAACTAGCTCTGCCCCTGCTGGCCCTGTGACCTCGGGAACCTCTCAACCCTTGCCCCTGAGATGAACGATAACACTACCATTCGCGTTGGGGGGGGGGTCGCCCAGATGAGGGGGACAATGTGGAGGTCCCTGTAGGTGCTCTGTGCCAGGGCTCCCTGTGGCCTGATAGCCTCCCGTCCACCTGGCCTGCTGGCAGGCCCCTGTTCCCATCTTCCTTCTGAACTGCCCAGGAGACCAGCCTGGTGTCACCTCTCCCTGGGGCCTGGGCCCTCCTGACCCATCTCCTCATCCCCTCACCCTGTTGTCTACCCACACTCTGAACCTGTCCAGACCACAAATGAAGCTCAGCAACCACTCGGTGCCCGGGGGTGAGGTCTGCCCAGCCTGAGTAAGTGACAGACAAAACAGCTCCTCACCCCCACGCCGCAGGCCGCTCACCTGGAAGGGAGGTAGGCCCCCCGGTTGGACGCTGTACACGCCCCGGGGCTCTGTGCTTCTCCACTCAGACTGGAGAGCAGCCCTTTCCTGTGGGATACCTGCCAGGAGGGGTCGGGGCCTGGGCGGGGGCCGTGCTCTCGGGCCGACTGCAACCAGAGCCCCCTGCAGGGCCTTGCAGCAGTAGCAGACGATTTGCAACCTCAGCCATCACCTTGGGACACTGCTCTTTTGGAAGTGGCCATCCCTTGGGATCCACACGTTTGCTGGCTCCCCACCCCCAGCCAGACCCCCAGTTCCTCCCACTGCCCCTGGACACCACCTATCCCCTGCTGCCCTTGGAGGGTCTGCCACGGTCTCCCTGTCTTTATCCTCCCAGTCTGGAGGTGGTCTGGAGGCTGCCCCAAGCCCAGCAGCAACCCTTGTCCTTGTCTGCCCCTCCCCCAGGCAGGTCCTCATGGGAAGTGAGGCCTGTCGGGTGCAGACCTGTGGGTGCTGGGTCAGAGGCTGGGTAGCCTGCACCCACCCAGACAGACCTTAGGGTTCCAGCCATACCACCTAGACCTATGGCGAGAAGACCAATCAGGGGTGGGCTTGGGAGCCTCAGGACCCACCAGCCCGCCAGCCATGATCACTGCCCTTGGTGTTGTACCAGGGAGTTGGCCCGTGGCAGAGGCAGAGAGCAGCCACTCAGCATGGGGCGGGTGGCCATGCTTCTTGGGGGACAGACATCATGCAGAAGGGCCCACCCCAAAACCCCGCCAGGCACACTGCGTCTCTCCGGCCCCGCCTCCCCTCCCAGGGAGCAGCGTGGAAGGCAGCGGGGCCGGCAGCAGCGGGTATGGGCGGGGGTGTCTGAGCACACTTCACCTTGGCTGGTACACTCCATGGGCTGGTTCCCTGCTTGGGATGGGCCAGTGCCTGGGACCTGGGCCTGTATCCTCTGCCGAGAGGCAGGTGGTGGCAGGTAAGTCCCAGCACCCACGGCAGTGCCACCAGTGTTTACCTTGCAGCCTGGGCCCCGGCTGCCCCTCCCGAGGTGGCTCCCTCGTCAACTGAGTCCCATTTTCACGTATCTCACAAAGCAGGAGCTTCCAAAAGTAGCTTTTATTTGTTTCTGAGGAACAGTACATGAATGGCAGGAGGGACATGGTCCAGCCCGAGGTTCCCTAGCCCTGCGTGGCTGTGGGTTTCCCCTGATTTGGTAACACACCGAGTCAGCAGACAGTCAAACGTGGCCCAGCTGGGCTACGCGGACGCCTCGTCCTAAACTGACGACCAGGACCAGGTGACTGTGCACAGGGCAATGACCAGGGGCCAGCCCGGCCTCGAGCTCCTGTCTGCAGCACCCTGAGGTGGGCATACGAGAGGGCGGTGGGCGCCTGCAGGCACACGTGCAAACTGGTGGGCCCTGGCGGACACACACCATCTGTCCACTGAGGGTAGGGGAGACCTGCAGGTCTCCCGACCAGATGCGCAAGCAGTAGGTGTGACCCCTGCATCCAGACAGGCTCACTGCTGGACCCCCAGGAGCTGGAAGCAGGCCACGGGGGCAGCTGGAGGGGCCCTTGGTGCCAGGGCTGGACCTGCCTGCACGCTCATTCTCTCGGGGATCCCGAGGGAAAGCCGTCCTCCCTGTCCCAACCAGATTTAAGGCTCGTATTTCCTGACATTGCTTCACTTTGTTTAAGTTAAAGTTACCTGAGTAAAAAATTTCAGATATTTTTAAAAGCCAAGAACACACACCTCTGCAGGCAGAGCGGTGCTGGTGCACATCCGGCCGCCAGGCCGCCAGGCTTGGCCAAGCTGCTCCCCTGGGAGGACTACTCCCAGGGGCCAGGCCAGAGCCTGGGTGCTCTCGCCCTCCCAGCCCAAGCCGCCAGGCCAGGCGCTCCAGGCGCTGACGCACAGCCGAAGGCACAGTGAGGGAGGGGACTGCCGGCTGTGGCCCAGCGTGCCCGACCACCTAGGGCAGGGAGGGACTGGCGGGGAAGCGTGGCCTCGGCCCTCCCGGATGCCTGTCCTGGTGCCCGAGAACCCGTGAGCAGCCCCTGGGGGCGGGCTGGGGAGCCTGAGCTCAGAGCAGTTAAATAATTCTTTATTTGGGTGGGCTGGGGGAGGGCAGGCGAGGCTGGGCCCGGACCCGTGGGGACGGCCCCTCAGGCGTGGCGGCTCCCTGTGCGCCTCCTACTTGTGCGGCCGGGCTGAGGACGCCCTCTGCAGGCAGTACTGGGTGGCAGGCAGCGAGAGGACCAGGCCAGCGGTGCGGCGCCCCATCCAGTACAGGCCATAGCCCAGCAGGCCCAAGAAGGCGACCTTCACAGCCAGCCGGGACACTCTGCCGGAGATGGACGGCGGGGGGACGCTGGTGGGGGGGAGGGAGAGCAGGCTGGGCCTGGTTCAGGGTGCGTGCTTCCCAGCCCCCACCCAGGCACGGCCACCCCTCTCCGGGCCCAGGTCTGTGCTTGGGGAGCCCGAGGGGCAGGTGACACTCACGTCATGATCTCCTGGATGTTGAGGTCAGTGGTCCAGTTCTTCTCGATGCCGGGGACGTGGCCCATGCCCACGACGCCCACCACCACAGAGGGGACACACTTCCTGGGCTCAGCTGTGGGGGAGCGACAGTCAGCACCCACCTGTCAGCGACAGGCCCCCAGGGAGCCCCCGCCCAGACCGGCCGTCACCGTCGGAGGAGCGCGGCAGCTCGAGGCGCCGGGCCGCCTGCCGCAGCATGTAGGTCAGGTAGATGTCGCGCTCGGAGACGATGGTGCGGTGCAGGTCGGGGAACTCGCCGACCATCTCCGCCATCATCTGCTCCAGCAGGTCCTTCTGCTTGCATCGCTCCACGTCATCCTTGCTGGGGGCAGGAGGCGAGCTGCCAGCCCCGCGGGGACCGCGGCCAGCAGGAGGCTGGTGCTACTGACCCAAGGCAGGGACCTGGGCACCCTTGGTTTGGGGCTGCAGCAGCAGGAGGGGTGGGGAGGCCCCGTTTGAGGAGGCCTGGCCCAAGGACAAGAGGGATGTGCCGCATGGCGGGGTTCGGCCGCGAGAGGGCCAGGCACTCTGCAGACTCCCCTCCCCCCACGCCACCGGCCGCCGTTCTGGGCCGGGGCTGCCCTACCTGATAGGGTCTGACAGGAAACACAGGCCCCAGGCCAGCTTGACCTTCTGCCAGAAGGACAGCGCGGCGATGGCCCTCTTGAAGGTGACGGGGATGGGCCGGTCGCCCAAGTGGAACTTGCAGAAAGGCACCTTGCTGGCCTGGGGCAGAAGCCGGGGTTGGCTGGGGCAGCCACAGCCCACCAGGTGGCCCCGAGCCCCTCCCCGGCCGAGCCCGGGCCCACCTCCTTGAAGGCCTCCCTGAACTCGCCACCAGGGGCCATGCCCAGCTGCTCGGTGATGTGGGCCGACACCTTCAGCAGCAGCATCTGCATGAGTCCAGACATGACCCCGTTCTGCAGGGACAGGGAGCCCGGCTCAGCGGCCTGACCGAGGGCCTGGCCGGGCCGCCACAGCACAGGGGACATCCAAAGCCTTTCTCGGCCCTCGGCAAAGCCCTCCCGGGGGCGGGGCGCACTTTGGGGCTACACAGTCGTGGACCTCTGCCCTGTGGACATCCTCGTCCCCTCTCACCTCTCCAGCCCAGACCGACTCCTGTTATGCATCCCCTATGTGGGCGCCTGTCGGTGCACTGGCCTCAGGCCCACGTGTGGGAGACGCAGTGGGTGTACTGGTCCCGGTGGGCGGGTGGGCCACGTGGCACTGAGACCACCCCGATCCCCAGGGACCTGCTCGGCAAACCCGGAGACCTTGCGCCATCCATGCTTCCCTCCTGTGTCTGAAAGCCGACGTGCCTTCCCTCTCCCACGGGCCAGGCCTCCCCTGGCTCACAGGAGGGCAGAGCGGGGTGTGGCTGCACCTGCCGCACGGCCTGCTGCAGCTTCTCCAGGCTGACCTCCCGGGCCTCCCGCAGCAGCGTGCGCTCGTCCATCTTCAGCATGGACACGCGGTACTGGCAGAGCTCCACCACCACCACGTCCGGCTGCACCGCCCGGATCGTCTGCAACGGGCGAGCCGTCACCCTGGGCCCTGCCGCCCGCCACCCCCGACCTGCGGGCAGACGCTGGGGCCAACTCCGTTACTCAAGCGACTAGAGAGAAAGTTCCACGACAGGTCTGCCTGTGTCACGGGGAGGCGGCAGGGCTGCGGCGGGAGGCAGGGCTGTGGGGCCACGGAGCCTGCGCCCTGCCGAGCAGCTCGGGTGTCGGGAGGCGGCGGCAAGGGCCATGGCCCTGCCCGGGGTGACAGCAGTGACGGCTCACCTTCACGACGTCCTTCTTGCTGTCGTCGCTGAAGTGGGCTGTGCCCACCACATACACTCTGCTCCCGTCCTCGGCCACCAGCTCTGTCACCGTGCGTGGCAGGTGGGGCCGTTCTCGCCGCCTCTTCAGCTTCATCTCCAGCAGCAGGTTGAAAGCATCCACGTCAGCTGCAAGGACAGCAAGACCCAGCTTGGGGACACCCACCCACACTGGCAGCTGGGCCGCATGGAACCTCCAGGTTCTCAGGGCTGGGAGGTGCTGGGGGGGGGAGGCTCTGCCACACTCTGGAAGCCAGAAGCGCAGTGGGACACATGCTCCCTAGTGAAAGGCACTGTCCCCAGGGGGCCCCTCCCAGGCTCGATGCCACACACTCTCAGAGCCACCAGTCTACAGTCACTATGGAGTGTGACTGACCAGACTCGTCCCCGAGGGGGAGCACCTGGGACAGCTCTGCTCACCCCACGTGTGCTCAAGAGCCCCCTCGCAACACCGCGGGGCAGGCCGGGGCCCCCCTTCACAAACTTGAGGGGCCACCTAGTCTAAGCCCTGCCAGCTAGGGAGCTGCCCACCCCTCCCGCCCAGCGCCGAGCAGTCTCAGGGAGCACGGACACAGGTTCTGGGGTTCTCCGGAAAGCACCCTGGGCACCACCTCCGACGCTCCTGACGTCACAGGGGGTTCTGCGTGGGCCTGTGAGGGAAGGGGAGTGTCTGAGTCGGGGTGCCCACACTCCGGGCACCCCCCGTCCCGACAGGGTTGTGTGGTTGCTCCAGAACTCCTGAGCCCCATGGGCCACTCGCTCCCCAAGACTAGAAGCCTCTGAGGGACAATCGTTCTGTAGACGGCCACCCTCAGGGCGCCCTACCCCAGGGACCCTTGGCGGACCCAGGGACCCTGCAGGAAATCCACACATTCTCTAGTGACCCTGGGAGGCTGCCCTGAGTGGGGTGTCCACCGGGACCCCACAGTCCTCGGACCCCCTGGCTGCCCGGTCTCTGACCTCCTGAGGTGGCTGTTCCTCCTCCTCCTCCATGGCTGCGTGGCGGCTCCCGGCAGCACTCAGTGAGGCCTGAGGAGACACAGGTGCGTCCTCACCTGCGGCCCCAGGCGGAGCGCAGGGCTCAGGGTGCCAAGGGGCTCTGTCAAGGGGCTCAGTCGATCATCCCACATGACCCCTAAGTGGGACTGCAGTGTCCCCGTCTTGATGTCACCAGCCACCGGGTCCTATGTGAGCCCTCTGCCAACTGTGGGCAGCTGAGGTCCAGGGTCCCCAGGGAGGGGACGGCAGGGGCGAGACTCTGGCCATGAGTGACAGGCCAGCCCTGCAGGCCGTGGCCACGAGCCTGGGGTCCTCCGCGAGCAGGACCCGCCGCCCCCACCTCCTGTTTACCCAACAGAGAGGAGGGCGGCAGGCCGGCAGACTGGAGAGCTCCTTTCTGATTTCGTTGCAAAACACAATTCACAAAACTTCCTAAAAAGAGAAAACCAAGCGGAAGAAGTAACTCTGTGGATGAAGTTAGTGCTGGGCCCCCCGGGAGCGTGTCGCGCGTCCCACTTCCAGGACGTCGTCAGGGACGTCCACGCAGACGTCCGCAGAGGTGCGGGAGGCCCAGGGAAAGGGACGGGGTGAGGCCCCGCGTGTCTGTGTCATTAGGAGCCCAGCCTTTCCTCTTAAGGGACACGACGTCAAGTAGCACAGAAACGGCGACAAGGCCCAGGTGGTGCGCCAGCCTCTCCTGCTCCCCTCTCGGAAAGGGCCCTTCTCCCCAGAGGGAACTGCCGGGGAGGCCACCAGGGCCAGTGGACGAGGTTCCCGAGCCAGGGGATGCAGCTGAGGCCGGCGTCAGGACCTGGCATTCTGGACCCCGGCCCTGCGGTGGGGACTCTGGGGGAGGAGCGGGGAGAGCAAGCTGGTCTCCCTGGGCCTCGGCGCGCCCCAAGGTATGCGTGTCCCACCAGCATCACCTCTGAGTTTAGTCACAGGAGCCAGAGGCTGCTGCCACAGACGGTGGGACGGCCCAGCTCGAGGACACCGTCTACAGTGTGGGCCCCGCAGAGAAGCAGGACGAGTGCCTGAGGCAGTCACAGACGGACGATTCTCACTCAGTGTTGGTTTTGGGGTCTGTCTCTACGAGTCGTGAACTGACGCGACTTCTGGGGACACGCAGGGTGGACCCTGCAGGGGGTCAGCCCAGGTTCACTATTGCTACACTTTCCAGAACTTTCACAATCAAAACGAAAATAACAGAATGAGCGTGACGCCACGTCAGGCTCCTCCCCTTGTACCCTGTGGTCACACAGCCGACTGACCCAGGGACTCACTGCCCCTTCATTCTCCTCGGCTGCAGCCGGGAGCAACGGTCAGGGCAGGGCCCCCCAGATGTAACCGAACTTCGCCTGACCTGCTGTCCAGGGAGACAGCCCTGGAGCTGACCAAGAAGCGGGGAGCCCATCCCGAGAACGGAGAGGACTTCTGGAAGAAACGGGGTCGGAGGAAGGGTCCGGAAGAGGGACTGGCTTAAGGCCAAAGGAAGCACTGGGCCCCGGGCGGCAGGGCAGAGGCCAAGAAGGGGGCAGCGGAGCGGAGAGGAAGCCGGAAGGCACAGCACAGGCAGGCGCCGCACGGCTTGCTCCTCTGCGGTGGGGTGTCCCCGCCCAGGAAGTCCCAGCAGCACCCAGTTGAGCTCGGGCCGGCCTCAGCCCAGCCCCAAGGACAGCAGCTCACCTGGGCCTCACCGCCCAGCACCCCCTTCCCGGCATCTACATGAAAGCACACAGCTGATGCCAGGCAGCCAGATAGACAGGAAGTGGAGGGCCGGGCCCAGAGGTCACAGCAGGGGGCTTGCTGCCTCTCAGTCCTGGGCCCAACCGGAAGGCACAGCTGGACAGAACCGCCCTCAGGCCACTTTACACATAGAAGCAAATGATTCTTGATTCTGAGCAGCACCGGGCTGCCAAAGGATGAGAACAACTTCAGGGTACGTCCTGCGCTGACAGCCAGCAGGCGGGAGGCCACCAGGTTGCCTCGGCACGCCCTGCCGCGGGTGTGGTGGCCACAGGGCTGGGCCGGCACGCAGGAGCCCAGTCTGGTCAGGCCCACTCTATGAGGCCCAGGCGGAAGCCTGTGCACCTTTCCAGGGCTGATCAGCTCTGAGCCCCACGATGGCTGGGTCACCCAGCTGCAGCACCAGGACCCAGGTCCCCTCGCGCTCCCTGTCCTGCTCCCGGCAGTCGCTCCCCCGAGGCGGGTGCCTGGCCTGGGAGGGATCAGGCAGGAAGGCCACTGAGGACCCCTCAGCGCCGAGTCCAATTCTGAAGCACCTCCCTCTGATGCTACCACATCCACCTACCGCCTTCCAATACCCTGGTGCCCTCGGCCAGGGTTCCGGCGATGTCCACATAGAATGTGACTTCTGTGGGGCTATTAACGTCCCTCCCCTGCCACGCGCACCACTATGTGGGACCAGAGCCTCTCCCAGCTGCCCGGAGGGGAGCAAATGGCCGAACTCCACAGACTGCTGGGTCCGGCCCCCATCGCCACACCTGCTGCATGGAGCATCCGTGTCCTTCCCAGTTTCCTGCCACAAAATCTCTGGACTGATGGGTCCCAGCAGCTCATCACACCACTGCATGCTGCAGCAACAACGAACCGCTGCCTGACACCCTCAGGGGAGACGAGTGTGCCTCCCCCAAATCCAGGCTCCAGAGCCCGGGCCCCGCAGCCAGGACAGCTCTGGGCAGCCTGTGCGACCCAACACAAAGTGGGACGCTTCTGCCTGGTGCCACCGTCCTCGCTCCCCTCCAACCAGCTGTCACTGCCACGCAGGGCTGTCCGCAGAGTATGCCCTGGGGAAGGTGCTGGGCACAACTGGTAGGAGGTGCCTCCTGAGTGGGGCTGCCTGCAGCTGGTCCTGGCCGTCGGGCCAGCAGGTCTGCCAGCTGCCAACAACTGTGCTGTGGGGGACAGACACCACAGGGCTGGCCAGACCTGAGATTGGCCGCTTAGTGCTGCGTAGCCTTGGGCAGGACACCTGTACACCCAGCCGTCTCACCTGTCCACATACAGAAGGTGCTCCTCAGGCTGCAAAATGCATGCCACACTCGGATGCCACTTCGGCCCATGACCTCTAGGCCTCTCTAAGCTTCGCTCTGCTAGGGCATGCTCTCCTGTCCCCAGGAAAGAGCAGGGGAAAAACCTGCGGCCTGGTTTACGAGACCCTGAAACACGAGATGTCCGAGGCGTGTCGCCTGCAGAGGGACAACACCACTGTCTGGCTTTGGGCATTACAATCCTCCACACAGATGACAGCAGAATCACCCGTGTACTTGCAGGAAACAAACTCCAAAGCTGCGGGAAATCCCGACGGCCCGAGAGGATCTGCCTTGTCAAGTATGCCAGAGAAGGTGCCACTCGAAGGGCAGGAAGAGCCCCGCTTGAGTTAGGGACCCACCTGGGGTGTATAGCCCTGGGACACAGATCAGAGTAACACGTTAAGTTGTCCTGCGTCTCATGAGGTCATGAGCATCTGAAAATGTTTTGCTAGGTGTCTGTTACTGCACAGAATCTGAGAACGTCAGACAGTTCGGGCAAGCCATATTCCACCGGTTTAGCCCAGGCAGCTGTCCCTTCTCCTGGGGCCCATTGCTAGGGACTGTATTGTATCTCCCCAGATTCACACGTTGAAGCCCTAACCCTCATGGGATGGTGTTAGGAGGTGGGGCCTCTGGGAGTGACTGGGTTCCAATGAGGTGGGGAGGGTGGGGCCCATGATGGGATCAGTGCCTGTAAGAGCCGAGACCGGAGAGTTGGCCACGTGAGGACAGTGAGAAGGCCACTGTCTACAAGCCAGGAAAAGGGTCCTCGCCAGCAGCCAAACCAGCCGGCGCCTCCATCTTGGACTTCTAGCCTCCGGAACTGTGAGAAAACAGGCTGCTGAAGATGCCTGACTTGTGGTTTGTTGTTAAGGCTCAGGGCATAAGGCCCAGAGGGAGATAACCCTCCTCTCCCCGCCACCCCTGTAAAAACTGGGGGTCCAGAAACTGCCTTCTGGACACCGGCCTGGCTTCCCAGTACTGGCCAAGGGCTGACCAGTGCTGAATGGAGTTTCCACTAGGCTTGCTCAGAAAGCAGTCCCAAACTGGAGAGCTCAGAGGCTGCAAAAAGAGATGACTGGCCGGGAGGCAGCAAGGTGTGGCCAGAAGCCCCGCCCTCCTCTATGCCCCCACTTCTGAAACCCCGGATCTCTTGGCCACTGGAGAACCCCCTGGGTTTGGCAGGACCTGCTTCAGGGAGGTGTGGCAAGGTTTGGGATTGCTGTGGAGGACATCTGAGCTGGAAGCCTGAATGGCTCCTTGTCCAGCATACCTGGCTGACCCTCCTGGAACCTGAACACTGCCCCACGCTGGGCCCCACACCGGGCCCCACACCAACCACTACCGCAGGGCGCTGCGTAGGGGCGGCCCTCTCCTGGCAGTGTTGCCCAGCGGCCTCAGACACACGACATTACTGCCATCCCGCGAGGCTGACGTGTGGCCCCGGGTCAGCGCTCCCTCCCAGCCACACCGCAAAGGAGGAAAGGGACAGGGAGCGAGGGAGAGCAGAGCCCTCACGGAGCGCGGCGAGCCTGGGGCCCGTGCACCGTCCTCTGCAGGCGACCCCGAGGGCCAGGCGGGTTCCACCCGGAAACCACCCCCTCCCTAACGAGCCTGTCCGGAGCCTCTGGCCAGCAGAGGACTCCGAGAGAGCTCCTGGCAGCCTCGACGCGCGTGCTGGGGGTGCGTCCCACAGTGGCGCGTACGGGGACTTTGTGGCACCCAAGTTACATCTCAGCGAGGCTGCTTCCTAGAAATGAGTCAAGACTCACCGGCCTCTGAAGTTGGCCGCGACAGGCGGGAGACCTCGGGGCCCCTCCGCCATATGGCAGCCTCGCCCCGCCTCGGCTGCGGGCGGGACCGCCGCCC